ATAATAACGGATCTGGGGAACTTGGTCTGACTCTTTTGTATCTTACTTCAAAGTACACGCTCGTTTTAACCTTACTCTACATTTGCTGATATCTATCATGGTAGTGGTTGTTATGTTGCAAAGGCGCAAATAGCCTGGCCTCGCTGATATCTATCACTGTGGGTGACGTTGACTAATACTCCCATAGCATGGTGCGGAATACATTTACGCAAGTATGCAGTAAACTGAACACGGAGCCACCACTGTTCTAGATCTGTTGAATGAAGAACCAAACGCGGCATGCTGAATTATTTCGTTCCACTACAATATGTGACTTACTTCACTTTCACCCTCTTCCGCGGTTCATTTAAAGTGGACACCTTTGTTCTTTTTCTACCCTTTCTATTGTACTTTCGCACCTTCTTTTTTTTTTCTCACTTCTGGGGTCAGGGTTGTATGGGGGCAGCTGAGCTTTCGCGGGCGATGAAGATGAACCGTTCAAAAATGCTTTTCCTAACTCTACTTGAAAAAATGTGTCAGAATAACTGTCACGGAAGAGATTTTAACGTGTTCTACTAGAACACAAAAAATTGAGACGCCGCTTGCGTTTCGCATTTCAGAGAGGAGCGCGTATCGTTTCGTTACCCTTTAGCATCGCCTTTTCATTTGCTTGTCTGCTTCACTTCCCGATGGGCAGCCCATCCGTGCTCCAAGAAAGAGAAAGCCTGTGCGCAAGGCCTTTTCTATTGTAAACTCTCTTAGGGCAGCTACTGCAAGTACACAGTTGCGAAGTATGTCCATGCACATGTCATTTAGTCACCCTTTTGCGCAGTAGCGAAGTACCAATTCTGCAACTGAAAGGCATTACGCCTACCTACGTATTCATCTTTATTTCAGTACCTACGTAGCTGCGCACTTTATCGATGTTATATCTAATAACGATGATGTTGATGGCGGAAGTGGTGGTGGCAGATTTTTTGAGCCCTTTCGAATGGGTGGGCAGCCGTATATCACTTACTCGGCTCACAATTCACATGGTGGGGTGTGACGGCTGGTATGCAGGTGTGCGCCGCAGGAAATTAACCGTTTGTGCCTGTACAGGAACTGCGAGAACAGGCATTGGCAATTTAAAATATTAAAGCAATAAGGAAAGCTAATATCGGCGGCATTGATTCGATGAATGCAAAGAAGAAACACTAGAATCCCATCAGTAGTTGAACCCGAGCATTCAGTGGAGCAGTCAGCTTTTGTCACAGGGTGACGGCAGGTCTTGAAGCTGCTCTAGTTAAAGACCCCAAACAGGTGTAATGGTAGTCACAGTGCAACGTGAATTGTAATTGAAGTGCTGGCTATTTAGTTTGATAAAAACAATAAAGAAAGTGTAGGTATGATACCACGTTCCATTTCTCAAGTTTTGTTATCGCCCCAAAACGCTACACAATTCTCAGCGCAAAACGCGCGTGCAGTTTTCGAGAAGCTTCCGGACTTTAGTAGATCATTTCGATAAGATCACGCCCACTCTGCGAACTGTACAAATTATTCTGGAACCTACGCCATCAACAGCGATAACGCTAGAACATTCGATGGCAAGAGTATAAATGCCGACGCACTTCGCCGCTTGTCAGTAGTTGATCGACGGCCGACGCTCCGTCCGCCGCAGCCAGTGTCTTAATTGCCGCGCTGTGGAAACGATCTCCCACGCGTTGTTAGAATGCGGGGCGGCCAAGTCGGTATGGCGCCTGGTTGCGAGGTGCTTCAGCATCCGCCCTCCCCCGGCCCTCGAAAGAAATAGGGGCTGCTTCGAAAGGCTGGTGATTGCCATCACACTCTTTGTGATTTGGAAACGCCGGTGCCTTGCTGAGGTAAAGAACACCCCAGTGAGAGCGGCCTACCCAGCACTAGCCATGATCAGGCAGAAAATAGTGCAGTACTTGGCCAAGCAACTGGAAGCTGGCGGGGAGGACCAGTTCCTTCGCCGCTGGCACACAAAGTTTTTTTTTTTCGTCAGAGGTGCGAAACTCCGTACCCCCATAATCCCCTACAAACCCCTTCTCCCCAAAACATTGTGTTACAAGTGTATGTATAGCGCCAGTAGAAGTATTCTAAATATGCCTACCCATGTTCACGATCTGTTGTAAATATATGTATATGTGATTGTAAATATATATTTGTGGTTTTTTACGAATGTATGCGTAGTTTAGCACAAACATATATATATATATATATACTATATATATATATATATATATATATATATATATATATATATATATATATATCTATATATATATATATATATATATATATATATATATATATATATATATATATATATTTGTGTATGTGCCGCTAGTTTCCTCTATGGGTAATGGAGTTTTTTATGCCCCATAGTGCACAAGAGGGGTGTCTAAACGAGCACTGTATGTATAAAATGATGTAAAGAGTTTTTTCGAGTTTGAAGTTATGAAACTTCTCTTTGTATCAGTCCAAAACTGCTACTGTAATCGGACTTTCCGTTTACCGAGCACAGGTTAGCCCAAATAAACAGTTAAATTCCAACACAAAGTCTCCTGTCTTCTGCCACGTCACGACCCCGTGACAATATGCATGAAACATCACATTACATATAATGCAGTTGTCACGTCGGGTCAACGACAATTGTGGTTATAGCGGCGGCTTTACTTTTATAGCCGTTCTACCAACAGTTAACCTATGTATATGACTCAGTAACTTTTATTCAATTATTTCTCAACCCCTAAACTGTGCTATTGAAAGCTCCGTATGACATTCTCATCATCGCAGCTCAAAGTTCACTTACTTGCTCTGACGGGATTGCGTCAAGTCAAAAGTTACCCTCTAAACGCCAGTGTAGTCGTTAGCGGTAAGCCCATGATGAATGTACACACTTACAAAAACCAAAAACTCGTCGATTCATCTGGTAACGTTTATTCAAAGACAAAAAAGTTCAGCATAGACAATTACTCGCCGACTGCACCGCATGAAACTGATTCCCGCCAGGCGTGGGATTTCCTGAATGTTCCACTTACGGACAACACCGCCGACACCATCATCAACACTGACTCAAGGTGTCACGATAAAAAGCTGCAGTACACTATAGCTATACGTAACATAGTTGTTAAAAAATACTCTTGAGTCCCGTTTGGTGAATTTCTATGGAACATCGTAAGACTTCATTATCTATAGCTACGCCAGTGGCCATGTTACGAATGGCGCTCACTTTATCGCCTTCTGATAACATTTACTTTAATACCTGTAAACACAGACTTCGGCATTCTAAGTTGTGTCACGTAGCCACGATGGTCATATATCGCAAGCGACTCATCTTTGAGAGCCTTGAATAATCAATACGGAGTAGCGGCAATATCGAGGTGACGTAGATGAAACACACTAGTTTGTCACCATTTGATTTTAGCTTAAAGCAAACTAATTCTGTCAACGTCACTCAAACACACTTGATGCGAGCTGTTTGATGAGCTGTTTGGACGGGGTAGACTTCAAGGCACTCGCAACGAGTAGGCCTACAGCTTTTCCCTCTCTAGATCTTCTTTGTTATTCTGTGCGTTGATTCGTGTTCAGCATAGCCCTAATAAATCTGATATTTCATTCGATGCCTGGGTAGGGTTACATAAGTTACAGAGTTAGGTTGCAGCGTGGTCGCATGCGATAAACCTGGCGAGTGCGCTGGAACAAACTGGTTAGGCGACCATAGCAGGGGTGTCGGTCACATGCGCATTTGTACGTACCTTTTCCAAAAACTCATCAAGCTCTCTTGCTATTTTATGTTGACACAGATAATTTATACCTGTATAAGAACGCAGCACCTCATGGTCCATCACCGGCGCCGAAGAGCGAGTCAGTAGACAGAATGCCGTACTGCGTAGGCGAGGCCTCGCGCCATGTTTGTAACCGATGAGAGCCGTTTCGCTGCTGCTTGGGTGATAAAAGTCCATGAAGAAAGAAAGAAGGAAAGAAAGAAAGAAAGAAAGAAAGAAAGAAAGAAAGAAAGAAAGAAAGAAAGAAAGAAAGAAAGAAAGAAAGAAAGAAAGAAAGAAAGAAAGAAAGAAAGAAAGAAAGAAAGAAAGAAAGAAAGAAAGAAAGAAAGAAAGAAAGATTAGGCAGATCCCACGTACGAGGTAATCAAACTAACCACAATTGACGTTACCCGAGGTGACAGCTGTATAAAAGGAGTACACATTTAACGGTTTATAAAATTGGGTAGGCAGCACTGCAACCCTTATTGACGTTCCACGAAGATCAGCGTCTATATGGAAAGGGGTACCGAGACCTGGCATACCTTTGTGGTAAAATGCTTCGTTGCCACGCGGAATGCTTGGGTTCGATTCCAGCTGAAACCCTGACATTTATTCTATGCATTCTTTGGGTGGACGCTACCGAAGTCGAGTATTTCCTAACACTCACGCGTTAAAATTTTCTATGTGTGTTCTCGTCGTTCCTGGTTAGGTATTAAGTATCAATCACTTGTGGCACATACCCACATACCAGCGGCACATACCCGCCTGTGGGTATGTGCCACTGTCTAGCGGGTAGCGTTTAACGACGTACGCGACAGCATTGTGACATTATTAATGTCTTGACCAGTGTGTCATATTCGTCAAACCATCTTACCCTCCCATGCTGATTTCGGTTCACGCCAAGTTAAGGGGGTGACCACGAGAGCACCTAAACGTAAGCGGCTAGATAGATAGATGGACAGATAGATACGCTCAAAGCCGCCGAAGTTCGCTAAGAAAGGCTTCGCATTTAAAAGAATCATCCAATACCAAGCGTGGAACGCTTGTTCTCTGTATCGGTGGAGAGTGTAAACATCATAACACCTAACTGGGAGGTTCATTCGGTGTGAACATGAGGTGCTAGAAATTCACGATCTTGTTTTTTCTATGCTTAGTAAAATTATCTACGCTTAATGTACTCGCGAACGCATGTGTAGTAAGCACGTTGAACTGCTCGAACTCCACTTTCTATCTTTCTTTTTCGTGCAGGTGAAGACGCTCAAGATGACTGCCGTCGTGTTCGGTGCCTTCCTCGTGACAAACGTGCCCTATATGGTCCAGGAGGTCATATTGGCGTTCGGAAACCCCGATATCTTGAACGCCAACGTGGTGGCTCTGTCGGGAGTGATTTCTGCTTCGAACAGCGCCATCAACCCGTACATTTTTCTGTATTTCCAAAAAAGTCACAGACGCAGAGGGCGAGGCATGTTCACATCCTTGTTGAAGCATATTCCCTGCCTCCAACGCTGCATCACCCGCTCCGACAACAGTATCGCGAAGACGGCAACAGTGACCTTCACTTACTCTGGTCGCCACTCACGGACGGTGACCACGGTGAACTCTGAGTCGTATTCGGGCAGGAGCTTCACGTGAAAGCATTTATTTGCCATGAAACGCCAGCGAAGCGCTGGGCTGTGGCTGGGTTCAATCTGTCGGACAGTGTACTGCTTGCGCACTTATTTGCAACATCCTATAGAATTTGGTTTCAACTTTTCTAAATTCTACGTAAAAAATAAAAAGATCGTCGCATTGCTATTTTTTCTACGTAAGAACATCAATAGTGTCTTTACATACATGCTACAGAAGATTGCTCTAGCGAACGTTGTGTACCTACTGCTAAGTTACACTTTGTACAGCGAAAATTCGAGGTTACTTTACTGAACAGATTTGAGCTTGCAGTTGGCTTGCGTGTGAAAATTCGGAGGGAGAACTTCGCAGATTAGGGACAATATTTGTCTAATGTGGATTAAAGTATATGTGAGAGTGATAAAAGATGAAATGGACTAGGTATAAAAATTAAAATCACCACTTTTTAGTGGTCTCCTTAAAGTTCTCCACAACCAGAACAAATGATCAAGAAGTGGTATCATTGCAAACACCATTAAAGTTCTGAAATGGTTTTCGTTCCAGGTGTCAAACGCCGAAAACAAACAGACCATGTGATCTTGTTCTAAACTTCATCGTAACGACACATTTTAAAGCAACTCCTGCAATATAGGACCACGTAAAAGAGAGATGCCTGCAAGTATTTATTTAAAAAATGGGTGATCTTTAAACCTCGCAATTAAGGGCTGAACGCGATAGCATTATCTTGTTCCTAGTGCGTACAAACACTTAGTGCATGAAATCTTTTCAAACTTGCTATTCACCCACTACGTGGCCTTAATGGAATAGGCGCAGTAACGTGTGGGCCTTTTGTAGTGGGTGACTGGCTTTAAATCAAGAATTCATTACGATAATCACACGGCTCCTGATGCCTGATGTCAATTGACGCTTGTACCACGCAATAGTACTGCAATATTTCAGGTTCTATTGTGAAGCATGTATACAGGACGTGCGTGTTTGTGAAGCATGAAAGTTACTTTCTATTTTCACAAGCACAAAAAAAGACGCGTGGATTTGTGGTATAGCATCCATTTTCCACGCAGATCCCCATTCGACCCCCATTCAGACCCGGAATCTTTCAATATTGTTCTTATTTGCGTCTTTCTGAGTGTTTCGGTCACGCCCAAGATCATAATTTTTTTGCTGACAAGCAACAGTGCCGATGCCGTAATTTCTGCGAAACGAGCTCTTTTACGCTATTGCGTTAAAACAGCGAGGTCATAATGTGATTTCGACTGCTTTGCTCTCCACAGTTGCCTGAAACAACTTTGTCTTGTATCGCGTGCTATAAACAGTCGGTGATCGTTTTATCGACATTTGTGGCGATGCAGAAATATTTTATATTTTACCAGCATGGTCCTGCAGTATCCAGAATCACCTAAAAAATTCCCCACTAACGTTATGTTTTAGCTCTTGTGTGACAAAAAGGACATTGATTTTAAGTGCATAGCACTTTAGGGGCCCAGCCGTTCGTCCGTTCATATAGATCTCATGCGGCAAGGTTACGCTCAAAGTCAAGCGCTCTATACATTCCCAAAACGTGATTAGCAGTGCTCAAAAGCTGGTTAACATAAACGAAAAAGCTCTGAAATATTATGATCAACATCAGTAGTTCATGAAAGCAATATTAACTTACAATAGCTAAAACGAACTAGATACATTCGGTCACCGTTTCGTATAGCGCCCGATTGCTCCTCCCATCTGCACTTCGCAAGTGCTTCTCCTCTACGTCTGAAAGGGGGAAAAAACCTCGAAGAACTCGCTGTGGATGGAAGGTATCTCAACTGCTGTAACAAGCGAAAGCTGGATACAGCGCAGTAAAAAGAAAGGTGCATGTAGCACACCGAGTTATTGATTCTCCCTAACACAATTCTATATAACCTCTGACCGGGTACACCCTACATGCTTAGCTCGAACAGTAACGTCACCGACAGCTTGGTAAACGGAGCAGTCTACTCTGCTAACTTTATGAACGAGAATCGCAGCATGGCTGTGCTACGCACTTCTTCAGGTTTAGCGAGTGGAGCTGCGTTTGAATCCTTCTTTAATTCTTTTTCATTACATAGCTTGCAAAAATGATGCAGCTAACAATGTAGTAATATCTGGGCTATTACGTCCCAGAACATGGATATGAATATGAAAGACACCGGAGCAAACGACTCCGCAAATTTCGACCATCTGGTGTTCTTGGGCGTGCACTGATATCGCATAGTATACAAGGGTCTCTATAATATTTACCTTCCATCTGAATGTGACCGTGCACCACGGCCGCGATCGAACAAGTGACCTTCCAGTCAGCAGCTGAGCACTATGAGTACTGCTCCACCACGACGGACGATATGACCAACCTAAAGCTAGAACTCTACCGAGCAATATAGTTTGGCTAACTGGATGCTGCTCTGCTTTGTCAGCTAAGGCTGGCAATATCCGTGTTTCATTGCTCAGCCTTTTACAGTAACTTGAACATGCGTTCACTTGAATGAGTTCGAATCATTCGTGACTTCGCTGGGGTTGAGCGTCAGCAGGCCATTAGAAAAAAAAAGTAATTTTCTAATAACGGCTTTCCAGGACATTGCAGCAGAGTGTTGCAAAAGCGTTATTTTGGTTCTTAAAAACAACTCCGCATGAACGGCTGTCGCACTGCCAGGTGTCATCCTGCACTGTGGACAGCAGTAGTTGTGGGCACATGCTCCATCTGTGTCTCTCCGGTTGTTATCTGTCTAGTCCCTTCCTGTATGACGAGTAGCAGAGAATTGCAGCAACACTTATTTGCAAGCTATAAATTTCCTGCGCAAGCAGAAAGAAGGAAGAACGGGGACAGGATAGAGTGGTCTATCTATATAACTACTGAGAACGGGACCCTTGCCAACACTATTTTTGCGGCTGGACTGTGCTGTACGTGCTGAAGACGTCTGCGCCAATGTTCACTTAACCTTTTTCTCTTCTGTCTACTTTTCTCCCATTCTTCCTTCCCGCAGGCGCGGCGCCGTGCTCCCAACCGGGCTGCAGACAGTAGGCGTCTTCTTCTTCTAACCACTACCACCCCCACCCTTCTTGCTGCTTGCTCAGCAAGGCCGAATATCGGTCTTAGTTAACCTTCCTGCCTTTCCTTTCGTTCATCATACGGCCTCTCTTGTACAGCGTTCCATGTAACAACTTAATGACCCGCTTCTGCGACTTAGTTCACGAACTTTTCGTTCCTAAGTGTTTGTTTTCATTGGCCAGCAGCTTTCAGGACGATGTGTGTAGCGTCAGGATTGGCAGAAAGTTCTTGCCGTGAAGATATTTAGCGCAAAGTGTTTTTGTGATTGTTTTGACTACGTATTACGTACTCATTTTTTTCTGCGCCCTAGACAAAGCCCAAAAGTTACGAAAGCAAGCGATAATGCTCGCTTGCGCACTGTCATGATTGCTGTTCCCTGAAACCGGCCATGCATGAAAGGAGGGTATGTTTGGTCTGGTGCGCTCCTGCTTCTAATGCGATAGGGCGGTGAAGCGGGCAATTAAGCGTTGGCCGGGTGGCTTAAGTAAATGACGTGCTTGCGTCACTATGACTCGTGATAATGATAAACAGGCCTGTAAGCATAATGAAAAGTAGTTTCATTGAACTTCTCAGTGAAAGGAACTGATAAATGCAACTTTATCCTCAAATTTTGACATCAAAAATGTAGCTAGTGGGAAAGCATGGCAGCACTCGCTGAATTAGGTAGAATGTTTATATTTCTAAGGTTGAGTACATGGTAGCGAAAGAAAACCCTTCAAATACGATTGTCTGTTGAGCGCCAGTTTATTCATGGGTTCGCGTACCCATAACATATCCGTATTGTTTTGTCATGGGGTAAACCGTGGGCCGTTAAACTTCCCACATTCTACATTTAACAACTAAACGAACATTTCTACGGTAGATGCATTCACAAGAAAGCTTTGTATAGATGTATTCGACGTTTGACGTCCTCATTAATTCACATCCCGATAGAGAAGTTTAACAGTGTACGATATATAGCAGCACTTATCTGTCAAATGTGAAATTACCTAATGTAACGACGACTACGTGTTTCTTCGACGTCGTCCGAAGAGGCCCGTTCTCCGATGAACCGAAATTTTCGCACCGGGGAACGGAACACCCACGTGACTATTACGGTGACGTAGGCTCGAACTTCACAGTCACTACCCATTGGCCAAATAGGATCACGTGACCAATTTTGCAGGCCAGGCCAACTGTAGGCACAGCCTAGCGCTGCTTTCAACTCACTCGAACTTTATCGTGCCTTGGCTGGGGCAAAGCAGAATTTGTGCTGTAAACCGGCGTCAGTATAGCGCAAGTATCCAGCTCCAAGTTTCGCTCATGCATCGCTTGTATTTACCATTTCCCGGTTATTCCAGGCACTCAGAACAAACACGCGGTGCGAAGGTGCCAGTCAGAGCAAGATGCTATAGTTCTACTGGGACGTTGGCTGAAAGCATAGATTCGCCTAGCAACAGTCAAAGCACGTCGCAATTCGACTGACTCGAAAGCCACACTTTCCGCGCCATTCAGGTTTTATTGCATCGCTATAGTGTGCTGTTACTTATATGGTCATAAAAGGGAAAAGAAGAGAAAAAGTGAGTCGCGTAACTGTCTGCATCTGGTGCTACACCTAAACAGAAGCTCACAAGGGGTGGGGGTAATGAGGGATTAAAGGGATAGGATTAAAAGGTATATAGAGGGAGTGATAGGCGCAGGGCCAGGGAGCGACGGCAGTAAAGAGAAGATAGGAAAGATGAACATGGTCGCAGGAGTCCGAGGACGGGGCACCACTGGCGAGAGCTCTTGTCGGCAACAGGAGATGGCGTATGCCTACTCCAGTCGGCCACAGCTACGCTGTCGTCATCGTCGGGGACCAGCGCCAGGAAGTGTCGTGGGACCGGCCAGAGCTGCACTGTCGTCGGAGATCGCGAGGGCACAACTGGTTGGCACGGAATCCAGCGAGGGAGTCTAGTGTGCTGTT